TGCTTCCTAAGGCTCTCCTCTGGATAACCACACGACCTGCAGCAGCTCATCAGATCAAAAATGAGTTCATTGACATGGTGACTGAGGTCAGAGGGTTCACCGACCCACAGAAGGAGGAGTACTTCAGGAAGAGGTTCAGAGATGAAGAGAAGGCAAGCAGGATCACATCTCACATTAAAAGATTAAAAAGTCTCTTCATCATGTGTCACATTCCCGCTGATGTCTTGGATAGTTTGTTGAAGACCAGAGATAGAGCAGAGCTGCCAAAGACCCTGACTGGGATGTACATCCACTTCCTGATACTTCAGATCAAACGGAAAATGATCAAGTATGGTCGAAGACAGAAGACAGAGTCCCCATGGACTCGAGAGAACATTGAGATGGTTAATTCTCTGGGAAAACTGGCCTTTGAGCAGCTGCTGGAAGGAAACCTGATCTTCTATAAACCAGACCTGGAAAAGTGTGGCATTGACATCCAAGCTGCTTCGTGGTTCTCAGGAGTGTTCACTGAGATCTTTAAAGAGGAAAGAGGGATGGACAACATCTCAGTCTACTGCTTTGTTCATCTGAGCTTCCAGGAGTTTCTGGCTGCAGTCTACATGCTCCACTGTTTCACCAGCAGGAACACAGAGGTGGTGGAGAACTTCCTGGGAGAAGAATGCAGAGAAACATCTCTGGAGGACTTCATGAAGAAAGTCCTGGAGAAATCTCTCAGCAGTAAAAATGGCCATCTGGACATGTTTCTTCGCTTCCTTCATGGCCTCTTGGTGGAGTCCAACCAGAGCCTCTTAGGAGGCCTGCTGGGTCAGATGGAGACCAGTCCAGGAACCATCCAGAGAGTCATAAATAATCTGAAGGAGGTGAAAACTGATGAAGATTTTTCTCCTGATAGAAGCATCAACATCTTCCACTGTCGTCAGGAGATGAAGGACCTCTCAGTTTATCAGGAGATCCAACAGCTCCTGAAATCAGAGAAGTACCTCTCAGAGACCCAGTGCTCAGCTCTGGCCTACATGCTGCAGATGTCAGAGGAGGTTCTGGATGAGTTCGACCTGATGAAGTTCAACACATCAGAGAATGGAAGACGTAGGCTGGTTCCAGCTGTGAGGGACTGCAGAAAGGCTCGGTGAGTCCAGATGTTTTCATTGGGTGATAATGATTCAGCTATATTTTCCTCCTGGTTCTTCTTCATTGTTCTAGTAGCTTCTGGATGTTTTTGCTCTTTTACTACTTCAACCATTCAAACATCTAAACATTTAGCATCTTCAGGACAACTCTTGCACTGAAATGAAGAGAAAATCTGTGTTTCCACTTAGGATCCAATCAGCCAGAGACCCTTTTCACTCATTTGGGTGTTTGCTCAGAATCCAAATTTTTTCTCTGACTGTTTTTATAATATCACTGTTTAGCTTTAATAGGAACTTGGAACAATCAGTTCAATCCCCACATTGCTGCTTTTGCCATGGAGATGAGATTTTTGAATTTAACAAAAGGTGAAAAACTACGCACATTCTGAGAAGTTTGAGAGTGGGTGCTGGACTGCAAAGTCATTGCAGATAACAAAATGAACAAGATGGATCTGTGCACTATTTATAGCTCCCAGATTAGTATATTCGCAAAAATGTGATATTACCAGCCACAAGCCCTTTTTTAAACTATTGAGCCATTAAGAAGGTGCACCTGCCTTAATAGGATTGACTTGATCACTTGGCAGTTCCAGGTTCGGTATTCCCTGGAAGGATGCAGGTATTCCCTGCATCCACCCCCTCCACTCCTTCATCCCTCCCCTTTCAGCCCTACAGCTTCTGCTGAAAAGGGGAAGGGTGCAGGGAGTGGAAGGATGAAGAACATCTAAACCGCCATTATGAAGATGTGTGAGGAGGAAAGATGAGTAGAGTTAAGGTGAGGATGAATGGATTGCATACGGTGCAAGGGGGCGTGTTCAGCTCAAACAGCAAGCTGTCAACACTACACACGAGAAGGAAGTCGAAAACACAGCTGTTTACAACTTTATCAAAGCCTTTTCCTGTAGCTCAAAGTAAGGGCATGGTCCTGCCGAGCACTTTCATATCCATTTGTGCAGTTTAACGTAACCATAGTATTTTAGAGTGTTATTTTGATTTTTGATCTATTTAGATCTTGCGTTCTTTGTATAATGGACACTGTTCAGTAACGTTTAAAAAGTTTAATAATATAATTATTTCCTTTTGGTTTGCATAAAAGGATTTTGGTGCTAATAGTCACGTGTGATGTAAACACATTGTTTTAGGTATAATAATAATTTTCGCAGCACCCCCCTGTTCAAAATCACTTCCATCGGCCCTGCCAGCAGGAGATGCTGCTTGGTAGCCATGTTTTTCACACCGATCCGTCCGTGTAGTTACAACTTTTCCCACATTTGCATTGCGGGAATTCTGTCCCCACGGACGCTATCCGGAGAGCTGTGGAAGCCCAAAATGACGTAATTTGGCCAAGCATAAACCAAGCCAGGCTTCAGTAAAGTGATGATCATTAGTGTTATCTGACTTGTTGAATATCTGACAACAGGTCATTAGAACTGATTTTTTTACTCTAATCACAGACTTGGTGGCTGTGAACTCACTAAGGCTGAATGTGAAGCTGTGGCCTCAGCTCTGAAGTCCAACCATCACCTGACTGAAGTTGAAATAGAGAAGATATGTGGAGATAACCTCTTTAAAGACTCTGGAATGAAGCATCTGTGTGAGATATTGGAGAGTTCAATCTGCAAAGTGAAGAAACTGAGGTGAGTTTTCTCTGTTTATTCAAACCAAATCATTAACTGATATTTTAGTACCTATTTCATCATTTTACTTTAATATATTTTCTTTACAAACAGCTGCTGTCCAAATGTCAAAATACAATTTACCAGACTTTTTTTGTAAATGAATTATTTTCCTGTTCCAGATGTTTTATTTTCCTGTGGTTAGAATGGAAACCTATTTTCAATTCAATTAAATTCAGTTTATTTCTATAGCTCCAATTCACATCATGTCATCTCAGGCCACTTTCCAGTTCACCAGATCATCCAGTCAAATTGATTCAAGGTTTTCTATCTAAGGAAAACCAGCTGATTGCATCGACTCATTGACTCTTCAGCAATCCCTCACACTAAGCATGCTTGTAGCGACAG